TGGGGGGCAGGAACTGGCCAAGGGAGAAAAAGGTGATGTTAAATAATTAGACACATGTGATTCTGGGACCTTGTCTCCTACACATAAGAGGACACACGATGTCACAAGCATACAACCTACCAGGCAATTACTGTTCATTTAACAACAGGGTGCTTTTTAAATGAGTAATTTAAAAAGGACCATGGCTTTGCTCTAGAACATCAAGACCACACATGAAGTTCATGCTCAGATATTACTACTGCTGTTAATTCTCTGGCTTTAACCTAAACACGAGGTAACAGGCCTCTGCCCTAGCTAGTCCGTGATGACAAAAGAGCAGGTTGGGTAGACGGTGAAAGACAGCTTCGCACGGTCCGCACAGCTTCACCCCGTCTTTTGCACGTCTCCTTTTGCATCAGCCAGATTACCAAGAAGGTTCTGACAGTCACCACGTGGACCTCAGCCTTCACTATAAGTAAAGGTGGTGTTCACCCCCTTCCCCACTAACAGGAAAACGTCAGCATGCTTGTAGGAAACGTGTCGGGGGCAGAATGGGTGAGGGAGGAAAATAAACCAACTGTAGAGACCACACTCCTCAATTTTAATGTGTGCAAATTCTACTTCTAAAAGGGATGAGGAATTGGCTTTTAAAAACACTGCACTCAAAATAATGCTTCCAGTAATAACCTTCAAAGTGTCAACAAAAAAGAAAATCTGTGCTTATGCGTACGTGGGAATTCAGATGTGTTCTTTGAGATCATTCAAAACGAACTTGGCTTACTGTCTACAATATGGCAATAACAATGTCTGGGGAGGCCACAGTTCCTCCTCAGTCCATCAAAACGAGCTGACCGAGAACACTGGAGTGAAGGCAGGTGGCGATGACTTTTTCTAAGTCTAACCAATCACCCCAATCTCCACATCCTTTCAGGGAGTTAATTTCCCCTAGATAATTAAGGGCTCTGAAAGTCTAGTTTTGCTATAAATATAAAATAATTCTTAGCACAAAAATATAGCCTCTCTAAGTAGATTTCATTTGTTCACTGACAAAACTCTGAGTTGGTTAGACAACAGGAGTTACCACATAACTGTAGACCACAGACCAGCACCTCAAATTCCAGCTCTACTTAAACACAAATGAGAAAGCCCTTCAGCCAACTGGTCATAAATGTTGGTTCCCTTCTTCCCCAAGGTAGAAAATCCAGAATACGGTCACTGGTGACTGCCTTCCGTGGCCCCTCCTCTCCCACTGCTCCAGCTGGGCGGACTTCCAACTTGGTGGCGAAGAATCAGAGCTGGGGGAGCGTGCAGTACTCCGGGTGACGGGGGCTGCCCTCAATTCCATAAGTTATGACAATACTTGGTATTATCAAAGCAACTGTTCACTGGCAGAAAGTGGGGTACAGTGGAGTCCTTCACAATTTAGGTTTTATAGATGACTGCTAGAATTTACAAAACAAATATTTTCCCAAAAACTTAGAAGAAAAATCATCCCAAAACCCTACACCAAAATTCATTGTTAAAAATATTTTCTTCTGGGAATGGACTAGTGTGGCTGCTGAGATGATGGGAACTTGCTTTCAGAGCTGAAATTGCTTCTCCTCATTTCATTTGCAACTCGCATCCTGCTGGTTAAAAAATACGGAAATGTTTCTAGACCATTCATAGACCCCTTTGAGGCTACATTGCACTGCGTCCTTCAGTTAGGAAAGGCGACGATCATCTCTGAAGCCAGCCTCATTTCTACTGCTGTATAACCATCGCGCGCAACTGATGACCACACAATTCTTGAGAGTTTAAGTGGACAAATGTCCTGGCCATCACATGGTGCTTCTCAAGTTTCGTGTCCTGATGAGACAAACGTCTGGACTGTTTCTGAGGCTTCCAATGTGCAAAATAGTTCCCAAGGCATCGAATCAGCCTGGGCCTCCGTTAGGGTGTTCTGGTTCCTTGTTTCAGCCACTGGAAACCCTGTCTCATGTAGTGCACCAGGTCTGCCAAGCTACTATTGAGGGCCAAGGTGCACACGCTTGTGCTGAGCTGAGCAAAGAACTCTGCAAACAAAGCAAAACCACAACCGAGTAAACACACTTGCACACACGAAAATAAAAATGGCAATAGAGAGTCATTGTTTTGGGTTGGTTCCAGAAACGACCCCCAAATAGCCTATACTTCATCTATCACAGCAAAACATCACAGTCTACTGTAACGGCCCGCTCATTTCCACACCACCAGCCCAGAAGGGCAGGAACTGGGTTTTATTTCAGAGTTGAATCCATAATGGCTGGCACTGGAGAAAACCCAATGTATACTCTCGGATCAATGGATGCATGAAAGAAAAAAAACAAACCCAAAACCCAACATGTTTAAAAAGCATCATTAATTTGCTAAGAAATTAAGTTCTAAGAGGCTGTGAAGAAATTAAGTGGCCAGAGCCGGGAAAAACTATGTTAACGGCATGAACCTGGCATTCCCACCCCAGCGCTCACGTGGTGGTCACCGCCTGACACGCAGCGGTTCCCGAGAGCGTGCCCCGCCCTCTCCTAAACCTCGGATTTCTCCAAGACCTTCGTCTCGCAGGTTTCAAGAAGGCTACTTACACCGCATCTCCTGCACTGTCAGAACCATCTTCCTCACACTGGAAACAAACATTACACCCGGCCTTTAGGCCACGCTCCTTCCTATCTCACGCTGCTGTGCTCAGGGACAGGCACTGCCCTGCTTTCCCGTCGGCCGCCTTGCCCTTGTGCCGCCGTTTCACCCTGGACTGAGATGACGACGCCAGAACTTCTGAAGAGGCCAGGCACTGAAGCCATGTCTAATTCAATTTTGCTAAGATCTAGTGACAGAAACTCAGCTCCATGCCACAGAGCTCAGGAAAGAATCACGTCTCGGTTATGAGGTGGCACGGAGAAAATTTGAGAAGAGCAGATAGGTACAAATTTCCTGTTCTTCAAAAAACAGAACACAAAACACAAACAGCACTATTCCCTCCCAATCCCCAGGCCCCAGTAATCATCACCACAGAGCCATTCACCTTTATTCTTCCTCGTAAGGACCTCGGCCTGTTCCCAAAGATCAAAGGCGGTAAGGATGTGGGAAGTAATGGTGATGTAGGAAGATGTCATGTTTTGGATGGTGGCAGGCATCCCGCTGCTCCCCACACTGCCAGCGCTCGACTGGGAGCCCACGGAGCTGGCGGAAGGCACTGGAGAGAGAGGAGATGGTGTACCTGTGCTTCTGGAAAGTGGAAGATCAGAGAGAATTGGTTAATCACTAAACCCAAATTACTGATTTCCGGTTTCTGGAACTGTAGGCCAAGCCACAAAGTTTCAGAATGTCCTAGCCAAAATGACAATCACTTCTATAAGGTCAAAGAGACACCCTGCACCTCCAGGAGTTTGGGAATTTATTTCATCAAACACAGTGAGACGGGACCCACCAAACAGGTGGAGGCACGTGTCTTTCACTGGACACAGAACGAAGGGGGCAAGTCTGTATTCCAAACCTGCCTGCCCACACCGCTCACGTCTACTCCCTGGGCCTGGAGTCCTTCCCTCCCCACGCACCCGGCGTCTCCTAGGAAGAGCGCTCCCTGTACACTGGCCATCGCCTCTGACACATCCACTCAGTGACCATGAACGGAGCCACCTGCTCTGCAACTGACATTCTAGACCCCGGCGTACACCAGGGCTTCCCGGCTGCCGCTGAACTTGATTTATTTATTCACTTATCTATTGCATTTCTCACACTTCACACTTCCGCTAATTCCTTTTCCTGGGTCACAAGCCCCTGGCAGGTAGGGACCATTTCTTACTAATCTCTGCACTTCTAGCGCTGAGCAGAGTGGGTGCTAAGAGGAGGCCCTTGATAAGCATCTGCTGAGTCAACGAATGACGCAGCGCAGCCTTCGGAGAGCCTGGGGAGGGCGGACGCGCACCAGGGACTCGGGCCTCCTCTCCGCCCCTCCTGACTGTACGCCGGCGCATGCGAGCCAACAAGCACCTCGACGTGGTCAAGAGAGAAACACACGTGAATCACTTAGACCTCACGGATATAAAATGGGAAGGCGGGTCAGCTGCCGTAAGCTCCGGCTGCGCCCACACGTGCCCCCTGGGCTGCGTGAACCCTAAGTGTGCCCAGCAGAACGGACACACCGAAGGACCAGAGTGGAAGCACCGTAAGGACAGCGAGTCCCATCTGCGCAGTTTACTGCTGTATCCTCTGTACCTAAAACAAGGTTTGGTACAAAGGTGGTGTTGACTGGCTGGACAAAGAATAAAGGAGTTACCTAAAATGATGAGACTGACAATGTGTTAGTTTAGAATAATCTCTCTGAGGTGGGAGTAAGTGAAAAACTTCAGAGGAAGGCAGTTACTTCTCAATCAGAGAAGCCAGACGGAAATCGCTTCCTTTGAATGTACTGGAAATGGGGCAGTCTTCTGGGTGATATTCTTAAAATAGCAAAGCCTGTCAAACAGGGAACCTTCAAGGAGTATAACCAAATTAAAACAATACTAGGCAAGTCCTATAGGGAAGGAAATTCTATCTTCACTTGCACAAGGACTGTTTTTCAACGTCTTATGGTACAGATGAACAATTTCAGTTCAAAAAGTGGGGGGGAAATTTAACTAGAGAAAATAATTTTCATTCTTAGTATCGCTGTTACGGACCCTGGAGAAGATTGAGGGCACGTTTCTGGAAAGTTCTTGTTTACTGAAGCTCCAAGATGACATGTCCAGAGGGAAAAGGGACTTGGACTCTGGTTTCCCTGGCTTTGCCCCCAGTTGTTTTGTGGTGTCGGGCATATCTAAGGACCCTCAAAGTTTTGACATTTTGACCATATAGATAGCTTTTGACCATGCAGATCGTTTTTGCAATTATCTTGTTATGTTACCCAATCAGCAAACATCTTGATCTAAATTATTCCTCAAACAAACAGAAATAAGCAAATGATTTAGTTAGGGAGCAAGTCAGCACATAGATGGATACAATTTTTGAAAAGGCAAAGTCACATGTACACACAAATGGTTGCAAAAGCAAGAGGCAAATAACAACCCAATACTGACAATGACTGCAGCCCGACTCCCGTTACCTTGCCACGCACGGGGAAGGCGCCCGGGCGGCCCTGGAGGATCCCTGGAAGTGCTCGCTGAGGGTGCGGGAGAACTTCATCGCTCTGTCCTTCTTGCAGCGGAACATGGCCATGTTCAGAACGGACTGGCAGCGCATGCTACGGGCAGAGAGGCTGGGTGTCACCCCCCACGGACAGCGCCTGACCCCTCGCACCCTGACCGATAGATACCCTGGGCTTCCTCCTCTACGTGAGGAAGGGTATCTTAATCTTACTGCGCTCTTCACTGTCAGCAGAAAAACACAAATACACAAGGACATAACTTGAGCCACCAGACCGAAGCCTTACTGAGTCATCAGCAAAATGGTGCCATTTCATGATACTTAACGATCAGTGGGATTAACCCCTTGAACTTAATCTTCTATTGATCACCTTTCACTGTAATTTTCAAGCTAAGCAAACAAATTTCAAAATCTTTTTTGTAACATCAAAAGATACAAAAGCAAAAAAATATATATATAAATGCAAATGTGATACTATTTAGACAAAGAAAAAAGTACTCACCATAAAACAGCAAATATTTTCTCCTGTGTTGGTGCTGTGGGGTCTGAGAAGGACTTTAATGACATTATGAATCTACAGGAAAATATAAAAATAGATCAGGTTAAACAAAAGCAGTTGGAAAATCCCCAACACAAAGACATTATATTTGTCTCGGTTTATATTGATTTTTCTTGAAGATGTGGAGATGAGAGCAATGCAAGAAAAAAAATGAAACTTTAGAGCCACAATTCAAGGCATTCAGAAAACTAGGTGAGGACATGTCTCTCCTCTGGCCTGTCACCTGCCTGAACCCAAGTAGACCTGTGTCCTGACTGAGCCCCTTGTTGAAACGCAGATAATAAAGACAGGAGCTTAAACTGAGACGAAAGGGCATCTGATAAGAAAGCCAAACTGGAAAAACCAACCTCTCCCTGAAAGGTCTGGCATTTCACAGCGCACCTGGCACAGGATGGAGCTGGGGGCAGCTCCCCTGCTCTCGCATTCACCTAGAATATAATTTTAGTTCAGGCCAAAAAAAGTTCCTGGATCAGTAGCTTTTTTAAGGCTCCCCTTTACTAAGCTGTCTTTATACTACGGTTCGCACGGATTGCAGCAGTAAAGGTGAGGAAAGAGAAGCACTTAAGAGGACGGCAAAATGACTTGGCACTTACTTAATGAGGTCTTCGGTTTCCGAGTACACCGAGTACGCCGACTTGGACGCCGACCTGGACACCGGGCTCTCAGACTCCATGGCAATCCCACACTCAATGAAGGACAAGGCAGCTTCCAAGTACTTAAAAGCCTTCCCAACCTTGTCCGTCTGTGGAAGAGCATGGTCACTGTTAGGCCGAAAACAGCCTTTTACCTCGTTTCTCACCCACATGCCTCACTGTCACGTCCCTCCACAGTCAGCGCTTAATTCTGGCTGCGGAGACGTGTGAGAGCAAACCCACTCTCAATGACCGACAAAGCCTGTTGGCTCTGACTGCTGATGGTGTTCTTTTAGCACGAATTCAGTAGGAAAAAGAAAACAATTTTGTATTAGGATGATGCTCTCAAAACCTTAAAGCACACATTCACACTAAGGCAATGAGTCTGCAGTCCCCTTGTTGCTAGTGTCACTAATTACTCATTACATAATTCTCCTGAGGAGATTGTTCTACACACCTCGGATAATGCAGACACACATTTCTTTCTATGTGTGGAAGTATATCTTATAGTAAGTAGAAAATGTTTTGGTTTATGAGCATCTTAGATATGATCTCAGACAATAATTGTTTTATGTATCTTAGAGCCCAGTAGATGGCCTAGTCTGCTTTGGAAGTCGGGGCTAAGTGTATAAGGTTACCCCCTGGGCCTACAGGGATAAAATCCTACTCTCTCTCTCTCTCTCTTTAATCAGACAAAATAAACCTTTTTACCTTTTTATTTATTTATTTATTGTTATTGTTTTTTACTGTCGATCCCAGGGAACTTGGTGTTCGTTTTGCTTTTAATCTGTACGTGGGGACATCGTCTCCCTACCTAAGATGAACATACGTCCCAGTGTGTCCAGGACAGTCCTGATCTATGCCTGTTGAATCCCATTGTAATAATGTCTCATTTTAGTCTCAAAATGTGCCAGTTTGGACAGAAACCTGAAATGGACAGCCGCTTTGTAATACGTCCTTTAGTTGCAGTGTCTTAAAGGTGTCCATCTCGCGGCTGTCCATTCAGGTTTCGTCCAAGTTCCCTGGAGAATACTTCCTTGTCTGAATACTGAGGAAATCTAGTGCTGAAAGTGTCCCATGTCAAGGTAAGTTTTAGATAACTGGCTGACAAAGTACTGACTATTTACTTTTCCATAACTCAAAGATTCATACAGTCCTAGCAACAACCTTGGGAGGCTAGAAGACGACGACTGAAAAGACACCCCTGCTTGGCACCGTCTTAGTCCTCTTAGTCCGACTCAGGCCATCCTGTGCAGGTCGCTTCAGGGACAGGACTAAAGGGGCTTGTCTTTGACCCCTTTATAGTACCCAGCATCGTAAGGGCTCCAATATTGTATGCCAACAAATGGGGGTCTGATAAAAGGGTCTCAGTCCAGCCCCCCTCAGCCTGCCTGAGAACAGACGCCAGGCCACAGCCTGATGGCCACCGTGGACGGATCTGATTCAGGTCCCTGTGGGCCTCCAGAGTGTGCGGTTAGGTTTGCATGTGGGGGAATAAAGGCAGCCCACACTCTTCTCGTGTGGTACAAACTTCAACAGGTCTGGGGAATACATTAAGTTAAAATGTTTAACTATGACAAAGGGCACACATTCTCTATAGTGCAGTAGAGATGCAAAAGCATATTTAATTATGTATGCAATTAACAAAACCACCACCTTCCAGAAAGTCCAACAGCACTAGGTAGAGTTCACTGTTTCAAAGCATGTTTACCCACAGTGCAATCACTGCCTTCATCTTAAAACTTCATCTAATGGCACTGCTCTACTGCTCCACTGCTCCCTCAGGTCAGTCTCAAGGGCTTGAAGATCATTCTGGAATGCAAATAGGCTACCTCACCTTTCAAAAGATTTCAGGGTAAACACAAACAGAGCGACTTCCAATAGCAGGACTCAATTTTCATATCTAAAGAATTGATTCAGTGGGACAAGGAAGCACTCATGTTAAATAAAACACTACCAGGCAGATCAACTTTCTTCATTTAGACATAAAACTTGTGACGACTAGGTACTCTGTCTATTTGCCCATGATCAATTAATGGAGTCAAAGAAAATAATTTCACTAAGAATCCTGTATCCCTCACTCATTAAGATCCTGCAGATCCTGCTTCCGTGGGCCACTGTGGGCACCCTGCACACGCCGTGCTTAGCGACGTGGGACACGGCGGAATGAGACCACAAACATGCCCAGGAAGCACTCTCCCAAACGGGTGAAGAGCCAAGACTGACCATTAGCTCTGCCTTTTGCTTCAGCTTTTTCGCCTCCTTCATGTGAAGATCTGCTTGTCTGAAAGAGAAGAAAAGATCAGGGGTGGGTCACGTGAACCTAAAATCACTAGACTGGAGCAAGATGACTGAAGAAGACAGAGGAGGAGCGCGGGTGGGGGCGGGAGAGAGCTGGGCAAGCAAAGCGCAGCAGCACCCGGGGCTTACTTGTCAAGCTTCACTTGAGGCTTCCCTGGTTTCGAGTTACCATTTGGCAAAGAAGGCACTGGAAAAGGACTTGCAGTATCTCCAGAAGATCCCTTTTAAAAAATCATTATACAGATCACTCTCTAACATTTAAGATCACTGACCTAAATATATCATCCCTTTAAATTGGCCCGAAATAGTTCCCCCCAAAAGGAAATCTAACACTGCACGATTTAGTTTGGCATTTTCCCAGCAGGATTAACTGAAACTGCAGGTTCTGACTGCACTGGAACTGAAAAAGGTGGAAGACAAAACTGTCCACGAGACTAGATAACCAACAGAGCCCAATGTCGCACTTTCTTTTAGCCAGTGAACATGCACACCATGTCCACATGCACCCCGGCGAACAGGAAGAGGAACTTGTATTTGAGAAAAGTGGGTAACTTTTCCCCATTACAATCAATAACGAAAAGAAAGTACCTGAGATCAAACATTCAAACTAAGAACTAACCAGAGTAACCATTTCTTTTTTTTCTTTTTTCTTTTTTTTTCAGAGTAACCATTTCTTACTACAAAACACCTGATAGAAAATTAACACAAAACATCTATTCTGATATTTCACTTTTCAATCACTTTAAGAATAAACCGACACCTAAATGTTCATATACTATTAACTACCTTTTACTCTCCCTCTACATAGAAGAACTTCAACCACAAACAACTCTTATTGCCTTATTAAAAGTAATGAATAACTCTGAAGTATCATCACTAGGAGCTTATCCAATTTGGGAATTTAAAGTAAAGGTGAATCAACACATCCCATTTTATACAACTGCGGCTTCCCCGACTTACTTTGTGTTCTGTGGAGCTTCCAGAGCCCTTCCCCTCTGCTTTTCTGCGCTTGGGGATGGGAGAGTCCTTATGGCTGCCCTTGGTACCACTAGCACTTTTGGGAGGGTCCTGGCCGCAGGGATGCACTTCCCGCCGCGGCCTCTTCTGCGCAGGTTTGGCTGGCTTCTGGGAGGATGACGACGACGGTGCCACGGGTGTTGGGGGAAGCATTTCCTTCTTTGAGGGCTCAGAGGAGGGCCTGGGTGTTCTGGAATCAAAGAAACATCATACAAAACTAAGTTGAGGTAGAACATGAACCATGTAACTTAGTTGTTCAGTTAAAAGGACACAATGGCTGCTGACAAAGACTAAGCTGTCACAAAGTGTGAAATCCACTTTCGTAGAAAGGCCAAATTTCACGGACTTTCGATGCCTTTGAAAAATCAAGTCCTATGCTGAGTGATAAATGAAGTTATATTTGTCTCTAAGCTTGCAGAACCTACCAGAAGTCCTGGCGTTTCCTAACAAGTCAGTCTGCATTAGCTACTCCCCAACCTGTCCCTTCCTCTGACAAGCAGGCAAGCCAGCTGCCACCTTCACACTGATTCCTTCTCCCAAATCCCTCCTACATGGCGACGCTCTGCACTTGTTTTACCACGTCATTTGTGAAGCGATTTCTTGAACAAATCACAGAAAATGATAGTTACTTTTTGGGGCTTTGGACAAGTCATTTTAATCTCTCTGTGCCTCGGCAAAGTAGGGATAATAACAGCACCTTTATTTTTATGTAAAAATTCCTTTAGAAAGAAATCGATTCCAGGTTTTCAGGAAACTTTCCAGTTAAAATACTTGTGATAAGTCCAAGTTTGCTGCCCAATGAACTGTTAATTCCTACAAGGTCCTCAAGGATGAAAGCAAATGAAACAAATTTAGCACATCATCAGAGTGAGCCAGACCCGGTGTCACTCCACTCCTACTGCAGGACAGAAAGGGTTTTGCCAAGTTAAGACCCAAGACTCGACTACCTTCCTAGGCTGTTCCTAATCTCTATACTCACTTTGCTTTAGAAGATTCTTTGTGGGAGGATGACGAAGATGACTGCGATTTAATCTCTTTCTCCAGTCTGACTTTCTTGCTATCGTGGTCTCTTTCTGCTTCACCCTACAATTGTAGTACAACAAGGTAAATCGTTACAAACATAATTGTACAGGCAAAATAGAAAAAATACACAGCAAAGGCAACGAGAACAATTAGACATCTATACAGACAGCAGCTTTCTAAGTTCCTACACTGTGGGGAGGGGGTGGTGAAGAAGGCAGGCAATCTAGATTTGACGTGATCTGTGTGGAGACCAAGTTTTGCGTTCTTCATACTCAGGAAGGGGAGGACATCTAAGTAACAGCTGGCTACAAGACTAAGCAGTAGACTTCAACAAATCATTGGTGATTTCCTAAATATAAAAGAACCAATAAAACATGCTGATTCACACCAAGTAGCAACAGATAATTTTATGAGTAAGGTTCCCCCCCATTTCTTTCAAAAGAATCATCCACTTATATCCACTAATTTATTGGTCATATAAAATTAGGAGTGGAGTACTTAAAGCTTAGCTTTTCTTCTTAATGAAAAAAAACAAGTATCTTGCTGAAAATGAAACAGGCTACAAAATCCTCTGTCCAGATGTCTTATAGACAAAACCAGAAAGATGTAACAAAGTAAGAATAGTTGCTTTGGGATTCCATCTAACTTTCTCTTCTATTGATAACATTTTTTATTTTTCGTTAACCCTCAGCCAAGGATATTATTTCTATTGATTCTTAGAGAGAGTGGAAGTGGGAGGAGGGAGGGAGGGAGGGAGAGAGATGGAGCAGGAGAAATATCAATGTGAGAGAGACACATGGATAGGTCACCTCCCACTGAAGCCCCCGACAGGGGTGGGGCTCAAACCTGCAACCCTTCGGTGTGTGGGCTGATGCTTTAACCACTGAGACACACTAGCTAAGGTGATGCCATTTTTTAAAAAAAATATATCTTTACTGATTTCAGAGAGGAAAGGAGAGGGATAGAGAGAGAGAGAGAAACATCAATGATGAGAGTCACTGATCGTCTGCCTCCTGCACGCCACCGACTAGGGATCGAGCCCGCAACCCGGGCATGTGCCCTGACCGGGAATCGAACCTCGATCACCTGGATCCTAGGTCGATGCTCAACCGCTGAGCCACGCCCGGCCGGGCAGGTGATGCCATTTAAAAAAAATATTGTCTTTATATCTTTCTCTACATATATAGAGTCATGTTTTGTTTTATTTTTCAAGAAATTTGATAGAAAACGAGGAATTATAAATATAAGTTAAGTGAGGGAAGAGTGATGAGAAGGAATATTTAATTCTACCAGGGTTATAAGTACATCAAAACATCCCTTTGTACCAACTAAAGTGTGATATACACACACACACACACATTAAGAGAACAAAGAATTATTCATGGCAAACGTCTTCCATGTTCTTGTGCTCACCTGTCAACGTGTACACCAAGTTTACAAAGTCTACCATGTCGAGCCAGCGACTTCATAGGGGCCTCCTACCCACTGGTCTAGGCCCAGGCAACACCCCATGGGAAGGAGCCACTACCTCTCTAGCAAGTGACAGTCAAGGGATTGGTTCAAGTCTTTCAATTAACTCTGATGTGCATTTAGAATTAAACTCCTCCAACTGTCAGTTCACCGAGATAGAAATCTGGGACACCACCAATCTAGGACAATCCCTTAAAAACTTAAAATCCTCCCTTAAAGCCTTAAAGGGGAAAAAACATTCTTCAAATTAACTGACTGCAGGAAGCCCCAGCTTTCACTACTGTCTCTCTCCTGTTCCCTGAATGCCTCCAAGAAAAATGAATAAATTAAGATGTGTAGGCTCAAGCTCTGCCCAGACACTAATAGCAACCTGGCCCTGCTCCAAAGAACAGGAAATAGAAAAAAACATGCCCTCCTCCTGGCACCCTGCAAACAGATGTGTCAGAGCACACACTTCCATTCAGCCCTTCGTCAGCTTCTTGGGGAACACATTTTATTTCTTGTCTCAAAATGGATTCCAGGTAGCTTACAAAGATACTTGTTTTTAATGTCTTGTTGTGTGCACAAGTGAGAACATTAAGAAGGGAAAATACGGGTAGGGAGAGAAATTAAACCCAAGGGAAGGCTTGGGCCTCCAGAGGCCATCAATTCTGCACTGTCTGGCACATTCCCACTCAATAGCCTCACACCCAGGAGTGCCTGGACATGGCCAGTCTGAAGTGACAAGTGACTTCGAAGGCTTAGAGCAAAAAGAGAAATGCAATAATTTTGATTAAATGTTAAAGTGATATTTTCGATATATTAGGTAAAATAAATTAAAATTTAACTTTTTTTTAATATATATATTACATATTTTTAATGTGGTTGCTAGAAATTTTTAATTTACTTCTAGTGAGCAGTGCTGTTCTACACACTTCTCTAGATGTAATCTGCAAACGGGGCTCTGAACTCCCCGTGAGCCAATGCAAAGAAGGAATTATAAAATGTACAGGTGAGATAACATAAAAACAAATCAGTTCCTCAGAAATATAACCCTTCATTACAGAAGACTAGAGTAAAAGTATCTTGAGGGATGTAATAAGGATAATTTGTGACATAAATAAGCACATCCTAACCTAATGGCACAACTGAAACGCAAGAAGACATTCTGCCCAGCTGTTTCTCGAGTGACGTTCAGCACAGGCCACAGAAGCGGGCAGATGGAAAACTTATCTTTGGGAAAAGCCACATTTTGCTAAAATACCCAGACAGATAATGTACATGAGGTAGTAATATATGCTTTTTGCAATGAAAGGTATTTCTAGACAGTTAATGAGACACAGGATAAGTCCCCAAGGCAAACTAAGCATAAACCACCCGCAAGGTTACGTCTTAAAGAAAACACCAGACCCTGGAGGTGGAATGAGCGTTAATTTTTGTTTGTATATTTTCATGCTGCTTAGCACTTGCTAGTTATGACTGTAAACCATAGTAGCAGACCTTCTAAACCACATATGAAAATAAGATTCCCAGTGAGTCAGTCCTCACAAGCTGGTTGTTATATCCCTGGCTTGTGCCAATCAGTGACTCAAGAGAAGAACAGCCAAAAAACAAGAAATCAGCAAGTACTGATTTCAAGGCTAGCGTTAAGCTTTTCGGCCTTTGGCTAAGATCAAGTGCAATATCAAGGCTGGCATTAACAACTCTGTAATATTCTGTAAGCTGGTAGAGAGTAAGCCATTAAACCAAGTCAAGCAAACATCCCCCTCTGTTCACTTTGTTTGCTTGACGGAGTTTGAGCCCGTGGGTTTCAGGTTAGTATTTCTGTACACTGTGCACTTGGAACCCTGTCATCTTCTTCCTAGAACAGTCACAGCGGCTTCCCCGGAGCAGGCACTCAGCAAGTATCTGTTCACTGGCACGGAAATTAAGTTTAGCAGCTGAGGTCCCTGGAGGCAAGACTGCACTGCACTTGAAGTGGACGGATGTAGGAAGGGAGCCTTGCAATACTGGGTGGCAGGAAACGCAGACTTTAATTTCAAGACTGGAAAACAGGAGGCGAGGAGTCTTTGAGGTTTTTCTAGATCAAGGAACCATTTGAAAATGAGATGAGGGTGATGTACTCTTTCTTAAAGAGGAAAAAGAAGTCTTCTCTGCCCTGAGACTTAGACCAGATCAGCCTCCATGTCAGGGAATCCTGTCTGAGGTCTGGGGGTCAGAAGGTCCCCTTTCCCAGAAGGATAAGTGTCTCAGTGGTGCTGCACCTACAACAAAAGGAGGCTGGTGACTTGTTTGCTTTTCTTAACCTGCCGGGTCAGGCAGCCATGGATTAGCTGCCAAATGCTGCTCCACCCAGCGCAGAGCAAAGGGCAAGAATGAAGGCCATAAAAGGAAGAGCCGGGACTGCGAGACCACGGTGGTTTCTGGAAGAGAATGCTGCGGGGCAGCCTGCTCCCGCCGGCACCTGGCCCGCCATCTAGGTGCCTGTACGCAGCGGGGAAAGGAAGGTGGCTTTTTCAGAACTGACACTCATTTGGGGCCACAGTGTTTCTAAAAGGTGTTAAGAGAGTGAACAGGGAGCCTGGCTGTGATGGGGAGAGATGAGGGGCATCTGAAAGGAAAACTGAAGACGAGTGTGGGGGTGGCAGGTGTGAGCAATAGAGGGATAGAGCCAGGGATGACATTATAACCGCCAGAGTCAGTACACTGATCTTGAACTATGACCTTGTGACTGTCTCCAAGAGACTCCCCACTAGACACTTGTGAAAGAAAAGAAAGATCACTGGATTGGGTGGAGTCAGCATACCTGAGCTCCAAATCTACTTTTACCAAGCAGCCAAGTGATGTCAGAGCCTCTCTGGATCTTACCCATATAAGGGAGCAGCTGAACAAGTGACCTATAAGGTCTCAGCACTCAAATTCTAAGACTCCGTCATCTTCTCCCACGGGGCAGCACATGAGCTGGGTGGCACGCAGAGCAAAGGAAGTGGAGGAGCAGCCTGCTGGGAAATTCAGGGACTTCTCTGGGATGTGCCTCTGCAGGAGGAGGCTCAACACGAAGATGACAGAGCGGATGCCAAGTCCAAGTCGGCACCAAGAGAGAGGGCAGGACTTACTGAGAAGACAGGTTGTAGTCACTGGGAGAAGCACTCTAGAAAAGGAAAATCAATCCACTTTTCTTCTTTGTGGTGAAGGAATAGAATGGCTTAAAATGGTTTTAACATGCATGTGGTTACAATGTTCTTAGAATAACTAATGAGCATGAATAAATTAGGTTGAAGTGGTTTCAGGAAATTATAAGGAATGACTTTCCAAACCCTTGACTTGGAAAGATAATAACTGAGAATGTTGTTCTGGAGAAACAACTCAAGAAAAGACAGATCTTGGCTAGAGGGGAAGGACAGACCCAACAACCATCCTCAAGCAATAAAAACGCATGTTTCCCCACCGCATCCCATAACTTCCCTTTCTCTATGCCTCAAAGCACACCTAAATGATGGCACTGAAATTTGTTTCCAAAAATGTCAACGCTTCTTGGTCAGTAAAGCAATTATTTAGAAAAAGGGAAAGATTTGAATGAATGTACCACCCTGTTGTTATTTATTGAAATGACTATTAAGCTGGAAAAACATAAGCTTGGTTTAAAAATTATTCAAAATAAAAAATAAGTTGTATTTTAAATTCTAAACTATAATCGGATGATGAATTTCTGTAGTTTATTTTAGAACACTGTGCCTATTTACCCTCACAATTTTCTCTACTTTCCCTCATGGATTGTTCCCTACCCACTCCTTAACGTAGTAAAATTATATACACATCTATTTGTACATATATTTCTATAGGTGCCACACCTGATGGCTTCATCACAGCTGTTAATCACCATGAACTCTATGATCTTCCCACTTTTAAGACTAAAATGGCTTCAAGAATCTGCTTACTCCTGAAAATACTTGCTAAATGTTTCACCGGGAGAGGAACAGACCCTAAAGGGCCTTTAAGTAAAAATACTGAATTCCACTAATGTGAAATATCAGGCACAGTCTTCAACTGCTCTCACTACATCCTCAGAGAGCTTTTTCTAGTGATCACACTTAAAGAACAAGAACAAATCTCCACTACCCAAATTCAGGGAAAAGTGACCAAGCTTAGAGAAGATGGCCCTGCCTCTGCCGCAGGGCCAGGGCCCATGTGCGGGGCTGCCCACAGGAGCAGCTGATGCCCTGACCAAAGGAGTCAGGGTCCTGACAGGACAGGGGGTGCCCGCCCCACACAGGGAAGGACCTGAGGTTAGCAATGCTCAATGTTAATTATACCTGGAATTCAGCAGGAAGACCAAATGACACACAATTCTCTGATCATGAAATAAGTATACAGCGAGCTGATTTTTGTATTTATTTATCCAAAAGCTTCTAAGTAATGTTTTTAACTAGTGACATACTTAAAGCAAGGAATTCCTGGTTGTCAAGATCCATGAAGTCTTAACACAGCACATGGAGGAATTTCTCCAACCCAAAGAACTAGCTCTGTACAATAGTAAGGCTCTGCTGCAGGGGTTCCTGGACCCCTAGGCATTATGATTAACTGAGAATTTAAAAACACCAATGGGGGCGAGGCGTTTGAGGGTGCACACCCCGCCACCAGTACGAAGGCTCCTCAGGTGACCACAATGAGCAGCCAGGGTTTGGAACCACCAGTTTGGACCCTGATTCTATCAGTGTCCCAGCAGAGAGGCAGACTATTCCCAGGGCCAGAGCTCTCAGCTGCTTGCAGGCAGTAAAGAAAGCACACACTTGACTAAGATGAGGGGGTGATTGTTTCCCCATCCTCTCAACAGAAAGACAAATGAGCTGCCCCAGTGGAGCTCCCAAGGGCTGGGAACGGCTTTTAGAGGGCACAGTTCACATCCTCAACAGGGAGAACTGAGACTCCCTTTCTGGAGCTGCGAGTAGAGCTTCTAGGTTTGCACAGAGTATGGACTGGGCTGAGAACTGTCTGGGGGAACCTCCAATGTCTAACATTTTCACCTGGTTAGTAAGCATTTCAGCAGCTAATACTTCTCACTCCAGTGAATACAGAAGGAAACTAGACAAGGCCATGGTAGCTGCAGGGATAAGTGATAAAAAGAATTCCCAGGAGGAGGGAAATGGGTGTGTTTGAAGTCTTTTCAGGTATATTAAATGCAGGTACCTTTTTCCTAGCCAGGTCGACCACAATTCCCTCCATTAAGTTTCACACCTTTAACACATGAACATTGTTTCAGTGGTTTTCAGGCAGAGAGAATATGCCCTCTTCTAGCTGAAACAGCACGGCCAGTTAGCACCTGACCCCACCCCACGCGACTTGCCCGCTGCAACCATGGTGGCAACACCTCCTGACCCATTAGACAAGGCTCTGGAGAAATGTCTCCCGTACTACTTGTTAAAGTCATGTTTTATTTTTAACCTAGTGGAGTAATCGGCTGAATCCCAGACATGACAGCGGGCTTCATGATCTCTTTGTCCTTTGTTATTCTTAGCTCAACTTCCACAACTGAGTAAGAAGGTTCTGTACTTAAAAGAGTGTTAAACTTTTGACTCCTTCTCCGCAGGAAAGAGCTGGCTCTTCCAGTGCCTTTCACCCCGAATCCAGGGCAGGCTGGCTTGGGTATGCCACTGGGGGAAACACTCATCTTTCATCACCGAGCAGCAGCAAAAAAAATCTATCAGAGCTCAATGATTAAGAATAAAGGAAGGAAACTGTCCAAAATAGTGATGTGTCCACATAACTGAGGGTTTTAATGCAGAGACTTTTTCTTTCTCCACTATGTTCATTCCTTAAGTGGAACTCCCAAACATTGTAATAAAAATGAAACTGACAGATTTTATACTTTACAAGGTACTATTCTAGCCTATATTAGTCAACAAGATGTCTTAACCATAAGTTTAATAAGCTTTAAAACCTTTTTAAATAACGCTCTGCTTATTAATAAAAGTCAGTAATGGAGATCACAGAGTCTAAATCTGTTATGTTCAAATTAATGAGGTATTATGTGGCCATGAGCTAAAATGTGGATGTGATATCGGTACCAAAAAGACCATACTACAGGAGTAAAATTCAGTGTACACCGGTGCTTTCAGGAATTCAGAATACTAATTAACACTTCAATTCATGTAAGGTTTTAATTTCTACGGCATAATCTATCTAATGGGCCAGGTGGTAAATATCAATGTTCTCACAATAAATATAAAAATGCACCCCCAATGCTACATTATCCTAAAATGAGATATCCTTTTCAATGATTGCCTCATTTTTTCCCTAACTAGCGAGACTGCTAAAGGGATCTGGCACCTGGTAATCTCTGTCTGCGGAGCGAGGAGCACCCAACTCTGCAATGGAGGAGTAACTCTGGTTTAGGAGCAAAGCCTGGATCAAATCCAAACACTTCTAGCCTCCTCCTCTAAGACCACTCAGGGCTATAACCAAGGGCCCATCAAAGCCCTAAGCCAGCAGCAGGCACAGGCCAGGCCCCTCACTCACCTTCCTCTTCTTGGCCAACTTGCTCGAGTTGTCTGAGCTTCTCTTCTCAGAATCCAGCTTCTTCCCGGCTGGTGGCTGTTTGTCCTCCGCTTTCTTCTGGCGGCCCCCCTTCCCGGGTGGCTGGGGCACCCAAGAGAGCAGGTCAAGGGTTATCTTCACCATCAAGCTCTGTGGGGGAGGGGTGTCCCTGAGCGGGGAGAGCAACTTGGTGTCTCTCAAAGGCACCGGAAGTCTGTCCTTCCCGTGGTCGTCCTGCACCACCACAGCCCGGCGACAGCCACTAGTCCTGCCACCGCTGCCGCCACTGTCGTGCTTGGGGCCCTGGCTGTGAGTCAGGGGGACAAGGGCCAGGTGCTCAGGGCTCCTGTCCTCCACACTGTCCTTCGTGGGCTCCGGGCCTGCGAGCGCCTTCGCGGGGGCCGGGGGCCCGCCCCTGTGCTTCTTCTTCTCGCCGGCGGTGGGCGCGGCTGGCTTGGGCTCCCTGCTGTCTCCAGCACGTGGCCTCCCTTTCGTCTTCACCTTGGGCTTGTCTTTGGAAGGCTGGTCCTTGGAGCCGTGGGGAAGTCCTGGCTCGCTCTCCACCTGCAAGGTGGCCCGAGAGTCCACCGGGGCCGAGGCCTTGACAGGTTTTTTGGGTTGTTTGGTTCCAACGGTTTGCCTCTGCGGCTCCTGTTGGGCAGGGGACTTCTGACAGCTCCTCTTGCCAGAGTGGGAGCCTTCGGGAGGGACCCGGGGGGCTCTGCCAGAGCTTTTGGGGGGAGGATCTTTGGGTTCTGAATGCTCGTGACTAGTGGTGCCACCGTCACCACCCTTGCCCTTCCCGTCTGGGTGCAGAGGTGGGGGCTCTGCACTCCCCAGGGCCTCTGGTGGGGCTGCCGGCTGGCTGACTTTGGTCAGCCAGTTGTCTAGCTGCCATTTGTTTGTTGTAGGAGGCTCAGGCTAAAAACAAGGAAAAAGAGAAAAATGTTACCTTACCAAAGATGATCAATTCTTCCCTGTGTTACTCGCCCAATCCTATGGCACCATCAACCCAAACCTAAGAATTCAGGCCTGTTCAATCCTCCTCTAATTTATTCCTGGGCAAATTCTGTAACAACTGACTCTTAAAGCAATTTTCCAATTGCCTTGTGCTACGGGAATTTTGCTTTAGTGGATACTGACCGTTAAATATTGTCCAATGTAGACCATCGACAACTGCTGAGAAATCTTTGCAACATAAATATTTTGTTCAATGGTAATTACAGTATTAATTCAAACAGAATTGACACATTTTTGGCTTGTAAACGATTCTATCAGAAAATAACAGGGAACAAAAAGAATCCCTTTATGAAGCTATTTTCAGAAAAAGGCAAATAAACTACATCTTGGTGATTACCTCTGGGTTTCATGCTTCACCCTTTTCTTGACATACTTTTTGACTAAAAATTACTTTCTTCAAGACAACATATCATTTCTCTTATTTACTTAAAAACATTATAAACATTTATCTCTGAAAAGGTTTTCAGTGTCACAGACACACACTGATTTTCAAATTTTACACTCCGATAAAGAGAGTCAAGTGAGGTTGCCCGGCCGGTGCGGCTCGGTCGGTTGGAATATCAGCCCGCACACCAAAAGGTTTCAGGTTCGATTCCCACTCAGGGCACACATCCAGGTTTTGTATTTGATCCCCAGTTGGGACACGTGTGGGAGGCAATCAATCAATGTTTCTCACTCTCTGTTAATAAAATAAAACATTAAAAAAAAAAAAAAAGAGTCAAGTGAGGTCACATTAGATGACTATCAGTCCCATTTGAATTCTTAAAAAATCAAGCATTAAGTCTCTTATTACAGATGACCTGAACTGAAATAGTACCTATTTTTTCTAAGACACACAGGGAGGCTCCAAAGCATCCAATTCAGAGCAATGAGATTTCACTGATTATCTATGAACTGATTTGGCAAATGAACAGAAGTTCCTGACATCCCGTTATCTCAACTGTTGATTCAATCTCTGTTGCTAACTGATGGCTGGTGCATCCTACTCTTTCTCTCCAACTAGGAGTTAGATCTTATTAACAGAATGGCAGAGACCTTTGCATCTCCAAGTCCATATGGTGGTGTACACTGAGATGTTCATTTGAGCATTACTATGGGTGCCCCACCGCGCCCATAAATATGCCATATAAAAAAATTAGTGCCTAATAGAGTGAGCAGTGATTACACTTTTTTACGGGGCAGCACATCACTTCATGCCACATGTTTTCCTTTAAGATTCATCTGATAGGTGGCTTGTATGAATGACTAACACACACAATGCAGCACCAGGAAGTTAGCTGAAAGATATTCCACCTGGGATGTAACTGATTTGATTGTGGATACGAAGATCACTCCAGTAGATGGACAGTATTTTACAGGGAAGATTGCTAACAATTTTTCCAAGTGAAATATCCCCAATAACTTAACTCTATAAAAACGTGTGAATCTAATACATGGAAGATATGTGGTTATAGTGTAATGTATCTTACATTATGTCCACATGAAAAAGGTTAGGTAATAAAATGACAAGGCAGTTAGTTTGGACTTAGTGTGATTGAAACAGAATAGAACTAAAAGTAACCTTAAGGAACACGATAGGATGATGCTTCAGCAGAAAGAAGGCTGCATAATTGCCTTTTTCTGCTGCTTAAGATACCACACCTCCTTTACAGTTCCCTTTACCTACATCAGCTCTATACCCAGGCTCACATTTGACTTTTCAGAGCAGGGAGGGAGAGAAGATGGAAACTACTCATGTGCTAGGAATTTTGTCACATGTCATCTAAAACTGCATTCAATATTCTAACAAGACAGGATGACTGTTAAGGGTAGAGAAGAGATTAGCACACAATACCTACTTGTCAAACATTATTTCCTGCAAAGACTTGAGGGTGTGGTAATACTAGTGGGTTAACTGGGGACAAGGCATTAGTCACTTATCAATCAAACCCTCAAACCCTTTCCTGGGAAAGGTATGGCTATGTCTCACCTGGGCAATGTTTATAACTGTACTCCAGTCACTGGCAAGCTATACCGAAAAGTACTTATGCAGGAACCCAAAAGAAAAGTCAATCCTGGTATAGCTATCATCTGCCTTTTCTCTCCCAAAACGGGACAGTATAAGATACATTTAGCAGTCCCTAAAGGAATGTCCTGGTTTCGAAAATAAAACACATTTTCTTCCACTGCAGTCCTAAAATGTCCAGAAGGGAGGCATATGGCCCAATTGCAGGGTAAAACTGAGCTCGTGTGCCCAGATAGAGGGGAAGGGGCAATCATTCCTGTATATCTACTATAAAGATGTAAAATGGATAGAATTCCTTCAAGATTGGATATTATTTGGCTGTTGGGATGGGGGAAACTTTTACATAAGGGGTCAATTAAAAATCTATTTCAAAATGAATTTTAAGAGTGTAAATGCTAGATAGGACCAAGGTTTCAGCTTCCATTTCTTCCTTTGCCATTCCTTGTGCCCCATGCCCCAGCCTCCCAGGGCTGGAGTAACCCTAACACTGCACATTGGAAGTGAAAAAATACGATTGATTTTCATTAAGCATTTTAATAAATGCTTGACCATTTACCTCTGTCCCTTTATCTCTCCTAACTTTTCAAATTGGCAAAAGTTCATATATTTTAGAATGAATTATGCTTTTGAATAAAAAGTTTTGAGTGATGTATAATATATGCCTACTTTTCCAGCAAAACATAGTTGTGAGGGGGTATGCAGCCAAAAATTAGAAGAAAAAGAAAAGCAAAGGAGGAAGGAGAGAAGCAGCGTGATGTAGGAGGAAATCAAAAGGCTTCCGAGTTAAAGGGCTATGGGTTCGAATCTTCAGTGCTGCTTTCTTTAGAGGTGAAAAGAAAGCTACCAACCTTTTAGGGTTGAGGGAGGGTTAAGAGCCTCACAGGCAATCAACCAAGGTATTAACTACCAACGAAATGGACAATAAATAGCTTAGAAACCTAAGCAGATCCCTGAATAACCAAGAATAGAAT